GCTTTGCTTTGGCATGTCGACATGTCCTAGAGCAAGGGAACCTCAGGTCCGAGGTAAAATGTGGCCCTCTAGACTTATTTACCTGGCCCTCGATATTCGCTCCAGGTCACACCCTGTTTTCTCCTGGCTAGAACGCAGCCTTGAATTCTGATAATGCCAGGAAGGAGGATGGAGAGCGTCGGGTGTGGGTGGGTGTCAAACAGCTAACTGTACAAAGGCAAAAAAATTATATTCATTGCTCCACCCACCCTCGACTCTGACCCCGCCCACTCTTTGAATGTGGCCCCTGGAAGGCAGCCCTGAATGGAATGTGGCCCTTAAGCTGATAAAGGTTCCCCATGGCTGCCGTAAAGGGATTGTCCTTCTCTTCTCCTCTGCGCTGGGCAGTTTCGCCTTCAAGGCGAAGTTGCAGTTCAGGCCTCTTCGGGAGCTGAGCTTGCTGGATCAACACAGCCCCCATTTTCAACTGGCTGCAAAAGGGATTCCAGCTGTGTTTTGCAAACTCCACTGGGATAGCACTGCTAACCAGGGAGAAACATCTGCACGGCTGTAATCCGTTTAAAAATAGCCACATGCACAAGAGGTTCTTCCTTGTGGCTTGGGGCTGGGCGTCCATCATGCACATTTTGCAATCTGCTGCAAGGAACACTTAAGGCAACTGGTGTTTTCTGCAGCGGCTGCACCTATATGTGCACGAGAGAGGTGGGTTTTTTTTGGGGGGGTCAGCATTGCTGGAGTTCTGCCAAGGCTCACACCCCAGAAGGCAACCCCACTGCCAGCCTCTGACCCACACACCCCCGGTCTTCCTCCTCTCCCTTCTTACCTCTGGGCTCCTGTAGACCACTTGCTTACTGACCATTTATCCCAGTATGCTTGCAAAAAGCTTACAGGGACACTATATTGTATCCGATCCCTACTAAGCATCCCTTCTGATTTCTTCGCAGGGAGGGGTTCTCCCCCTCAATTTTATTTTATTTTTATATATAAATTTCCAGAAATTCCACGTATTCCAATACATTTTTTAAAAAATTCTTTTATATTATCAACTTCCCATCCCATTTTCCATGATGTTTTTCTTATCCTCACCCCCCCTTACTGCACCTCGTCTTCCCTTTTTTACATCATAATCATAACACAATAGTCCAGGGGTCAGCAAAGTTTTTCAGCAGGGGGCCAGTCCACTGTCCCTCAGACCTTGTGGGGGGGCCGGACTATTTTTTGGGGGGGGCGGGGATGAACAAATTCCTATGCCCCACAAATAACCCAGAGATGCATTTTAAATAAAAGGCCACATTCTACTCATGTAAAAGCACCAGGCAGGCCCCACAAATAACCCAGAGATGCATTTTAAAATGAAAGGACACATTCTACTCTTGTAAAAACACGCTGATTCCCGGACTATCCATGGGCCAGATTGAGAAGGCGACTGGGCCGGATCCGGCCCCTGGGCCTTAGTTTGCCTACCCATGCAATAGTCTCTCATGTTTTCTGTTGCTTGTAGATCAAATCCCACTCACAGATTCTTCCTATTATATTTCTTCAAATAATCCACAAAAGGTTCAAAAGTCTTCAAAAAAAACCCCTGTCTCAATTAGATTCTCTTATTTTAGCTGTTAGCTTTGCCGATTTGACATCGTCCATAACTTTGCTTATCCATCCTTCCTTTTGCTGGCAGGTTCTATCACGACGAGAATTCACCCATCCCTGTTTCCTTGAAGGGTCCTTTAGATGTTTTCCCTTTGGTCTTTTACTCACCCCACACTTTTCAACGTTTCCCTATCTCTTTCCTAACTGCTGGAAGTCGCTTCTAAAGAAGTGCCTTGATTGTGCTAAGAGTGACAAAGGGCTTCAGTTCAACGTAACTGTGCAAATCTTAATTCCCAGTTTGTACCTGAATCCCACCTGCTGAGCACTAGTGATGTGGAGCCACCTAAAGAATGTAAGCTGAGCCCTGGATCATGCCCAAATCCCTTCTAATCTAGCACTCTCCTTTGCTCAAGTTGGCCAACCGGATGCCCACTTCTGTCCACCTTCTAGATCCCTTATCCTCAGGACTTGGGTGAAACACTGCATGAACCCAAGGCGAACGGCCAAGCCAGCCAGCTTGGGCCTGTCTAAGATGTGAGTGTGCGCCTTGTGCTCCTAGCTTGCCTTCCCCTTTTAGAGCCTGGGGTTCCAGCCATAATTTGGGGGACGACCATTCTCTGAAGGACCTTGTTCCATTTGCTTTCTCCATTTTATCATCAAAAGTGGGCCTGAGAGGCCGGATTGTGGGGGGAGCCCTTTCCACTGACCCTTGTTTCCCATCGCCCATTTCTAGAGATCAGGGCTTTCTGTTGGAGACGGTGCAAACCAGCCGTCTCCACTAAAGATACAAAATTCCTCTTTTCTGCCAGTTGCTCTGAGGGGGGGGTAAAAACAGAGCGAATGGCAGCCATAACAAACTTCACAACAGGCAAAAAAAGGCCTTGTTTATATTCCAGCATGGAGACTCTTGAGAGTCCCATGGACTGCAAGAAGATCAAACCTCTCCATTCTGAAGGAAATCAGCCCTGAGTGCTCACTGGAAGGACAGATCCTGAAGCTGAGGCTCCAAGACTTTGGCCACCTCATGAGAAGAGAAGACTCCCTGGAAAAGACCCTGATGTTGGGAAAGATGGAGGGCACAAGGAGAAGGGGACGACAGAGGACGAGATGGTTGGACAGTGTTCTCAAAGTTACAAACATGAGTCTGACCAAACTGCGGGAGTCAGTGGAAGATGGAAGTGCCTGGTGTGCTCTGGTCCAGGTGGTCACGAAGAGTCAGACATGACTAAACAACAACAACAACATTCCAGCATCCTATCGCTTCTCACATCCATGAGGGGAATGGATGCTTCCGGAAGAGGTGTGGGGAAACTCTGGCCCTTCCAGGTGTTGCTGAAACTACAACCCCCATCATCCTTCCTCATTGGCCATGCTAGCTAGGGGCTGATGGCGAGTTGCAGTTCAGTGTCTGGTGGCACAAAAGTTATCCTTTTGCAGAAGTTCAACCCTCCCTGTGTGAACAGAGGAAAAGTCGTGCTAGTTTAGGAGAACATCCTTTTCCCCACAGGGTTGCCAAGTCCAATGTTTACATCCACATCGTTCCATCCTTGTTTCAGACATCGTGATGTATCTGTATACAGTCATACCTCGGGTTACAGGCGCTTCGGGTTGCGCGATTTCGGGTTGCGCACTGCGCCGAACCTGGAAGTACCGGAGCGGGTTACTTCCGGGTTTGGGGCGCATGCGCAGAAGTGCTAAATTGCACTTTGCGCATGCGCAGAAGCGCCGAATCGCGACCCACGCGTGCACAGACACAGCGCTGTGGATTGCGAACGCTGTGGGTTGCGAACGTGCTTCCCGCACGGATCACGTTCGCAACCTGAGCGTCCACTGTATCACGATGTTTAGCTAGTGATATATCGTGATGTTGAAAACCAGTTATCGAGGTGATAGGGAGCTTTGGTGCAAAAACTAGAATGGGGTGGGCTACCTGCTTCGCAAAGGTTCATCTGTTATGTTCTGGGTTCTGTGTGGTATTCTTTTTAACGTGAAAGGGGAGGGTTCCCATTCCTTAATCCTCCGGCTCCAGGCCACGCAAAGTGTTTTCCTCACTTTGATTAATAATGATCAGGACTTTGTGCATTCTACTATGTGGGGTGGTGGTGGGAAAACATCTACATCCAGGAAAAAAATGCATCTACCCCCACCCCAGAGGGACGCGGGTGGCGCTGTGGGTTAAACCACAGAGCCTAGGACTTGCCGATCAGAAGGTCAGCGGTTCGAATCCCCGCAACGGGGTGAGCTCCCGTTGTTCGGTCCCTGCTCCTGCCAACCTAGCAGTTCGAAAGCACGTCAAAGTGCAAGTAGATAAATAGGTACCACTCCTGCGGGAAGGTAAACGGTGTTTCCGTGCGCTGCTCTGGTTCGCCAGAAGCGGCTTAGTCATGCTGGCCACATGACCCGTTAGCTGTATGCTGGCTCCCTTGGCTAATAAACGAGATGAGCGCCGCAACCCCAGAGTTGACCACGACGGGACCTAATGGTCAGGGGTCCCTTTACCTTTACCCCCACCCCACCCCCCAAAAAGAGGGGGTGAATGTGATTTGTGAATGCCAAGTGCATCTGTAATACAAAATCCCTTTCACTTAATTTTAACAGTGTCTGCAGATGTCCAGGGTGCAAAATCCAGCCCTATATAGGGAGGTTTGAGAAGGGGGGGAAATTCTATGAATTTCATGAATTCTGTGAAAGGGAAAGGAGTACACGTTTTTGTTCTCCCCAACCTTAAAAAGAAGAAGTTTCTACTCCTCACGGTGGCTTAAAAGTGTACAATTAATGTCTATTGAGATCTGAGAAGACAAAATGGAGACCAAGTAGGAGTTTTCACTGGTTAGTGGATATGAGGCATTGATGTCTTGCACGGTCCACACATGATAAGTGGAAGCATTAATTTTTTGCAGAGTTAAGGAAATATAGATCCCAGATTTCGGAATTTACTCGGGTTGCAGAAGTTTCCAAAGCATGTTAGAAGATTCAGCTGCAATTATTTAAGGAGTCCCCATTTTCAACTGATGATCTTCTCAAAAAGTCTTGCTATCTAACCCAGTTAGATTCCATGTTTGTGCACAGATATATTTTATTAACAAAATACCTAGAGATTTATGCACAGACCTAGAGATATTTACAAGGCAATATGCCCCATTGCCCTAAGCAGAACCTACTACCAAGTACTGTAAACTTTCCAAGTTACGGTCAGGCTGTTGTTGCCTGAACTCTTGCAGGGAAACGCTTGAAGAAAATTCAACAGTTTGATGCAAGAACAAAACTGAGAAAGGCAATGATTTGATGCAAGAACAATAAAAACTTGTTTATTCAACAGTCTCAAACGTCACCGGAACAAAACATAATAAACTTCTGCAGTGCAAACACCACCACCCACAAGAACAAATATAGATATAAATACTTTTCTTTTTAAAATATATATAAAAATATTTCTTTTCAAAGCATATAAACTTTTCTCACATATACAAAACACACACGATATAAGAAACAAAATGGCAACTTTTGGGATTTGTTTTAGGATTCTTGGAGGGGGAAATAGCTGCTTCCATCATGCAACAAGTGGCCCTGAAAAAATTTAAGACAATTGCAGACATTGAAAAAAGCAAGAAACGAAAGTGTTATGAACTCACAGATTTTGGGAAACAAACTAGGCTGATTTCCGTTCTTCAAACTGAAAAGCAGGGTGCATTTTCATGATATCCCATATGTGTCTTTTAAAAAAGATCACTTGTTGCAGCATCCGTCATCTTCCTGGCGTAGAAAGGAAATAACACAAAATAAATGTCTTGATTTAAATGTATTTTGAAAGGGGAGGTTGGGTTTTTTTGGAGTTTGGAGTTGCCGGTGTCAAAACTGTTGCCTGGCGATGTGTTCCGTCTTATCTCTGGTTCTTAATTACAGTAGTTGTGGGTCGGTGGTTCTTCGTTCCTGGGCAGGGAGGTCCCTCGCTTCATCTCTTCACCTTGCGCCCGGCCGAGTTGCGTCCGCACTTGCGATACAGCGACTGCTTCTCCTGGTTGAGCGGGCAATATTTGAGCGTGTGGGCCTTGCCAGCTGTGGCGCCGCAGAGCGGGCAGGTGTAGTTGCGAAGGATGGGGCAGGCCACCACCCCGTCGGCCCGTTTCAGCGGGTGGGAAGTGTAGACGTTCTTGGACTCTCCGTTGTGCTTGCAGAAGTTGCAGATCATCCCCTTGGCGGCTTGCTGGGGGGGCTGCGACGCCTCGCCGTTCGCCCCACCCTCCGAGCTGCTGCTCCCGCTGCTGATGGCCCACTGAGCCAGGACCCCCAAGGGGTCTTCAAGGGGTCCCAAGGGCACATCACTGCAGTCAAGGGGACCCCAGACCGGAAAACCAGCCTGCCCCTTCTTCCGGTCCTCAATGATCTCCAGGATGACCTTCGACAGGTTGAGATAGTCTTTAAACCTGTCGAAATACTGGCCCCCGGTCAAGACAGGGGGATAAGAGGGAATCGAGAAGGATGAAAGCATGGCCAATGCTACACAGAGGCACACAACTCTCTTAAGTGATGTGGAACTGACACCCAAAATGCTGTTTAGACAATGTTAATATTGGGGAGGTGGAGTTTGCAATTTAAAGGGCCAGGGGTATGAAAATATTCATCCCCACCTCCCCACACGTCCCCGCCATGTCCTGAATTTAACCTTTATACGTCTAGACATGCAAGGTTTTCTGCAAAGAACTCACGACTTGACCAAGCACACACACACACAGAGAGAGAGAGAGAATTGCCCTATGTTTTAGGCACAAAATTCACCTGAAAACGTCCAGAGCTGGTTCTGCAAACACAACTGAAAGATCCTTTTGTGCCATGGGGCACCCTAGACTCAGCCGCATTCCCCTCTCGGATAAAAGACCGGTTTTAGGGAAACCAAGTGGCTTCTTGCAGAAAGACTTTGGAAACTTTCCTGCAAAACAAGGGAATTGGTAAAGAAAAGGAAAAAAGGAACGCTGAAAGGGAACGCCAAGAGGGTGAAATCTCTCCAGGATGCTTAGGGGTTATTCAAAACTATAATAAGAGAAGCAGAGCTAGGTATATATACCAGAAGTTTACTACAAGGGAAAGAAGATGTTGACATGGTTAACTAGCAAGAGTCAAAGCAGCTACGAGAAGCAACAAGGCTTTCTTCAGAAAACGGAAGATTTGCTGAAATTAGGACAAATAGGAACCTAACAATCCGGCCAAAGAAATGTTAGCAGACCGTAAAGGGCATGAAAAATTAAAACAATTGAGGGACACATCGTTAAAATGTTAACACCAACATGTTCAAAAGCCTTTAAATGCCTCAGGAGCAGGGAAACAGCTTGACTGTTAGGATGACAGGAGACTTAAAGGTGTGCTAAGTAGGAAGGAGATGGCAGAAACGGAGGATCCTTTGCCTTTTGCCTTTTGGCAGAAAACGTAGACGAGATCCCTGTGCCCAAACTGACTTTTCAAAGAGGGGAGTCTGAAGAACGAGGGAAATACTAGTGGCAAGAGATGAAATTCTAGGCCGCAATTACAAATTAAAAAGGGAGCAAAGAACCAGGTCAAGGCTGTTTCCTGCCCCCTCCAATTCGGCAAAGAAATCAAATGCCAAATTGCTGGCGTACAAAAATATGTAACCTGTCCTAAGACTGACCTCTGCTCTGGAGGACTAGAAAGTGACCATGGGGGGAGAAGGATCCGGGGAGATCCAGTTAGCCGAAGGTGCATTACATTTGTAAATGGGTGGAAAGCGTTATGAAGAATAAGATCGCCAAGCATATGGAAGAAAACGAAGAATTTGCTGGAGAAGAATCAGCGTGGCTTCTGCAAAGGCGAGTCCTGTCTCACTAACCTTTTGAATGCTAGGACGCGGGTGGCGCTGTGGGTTAAAGCACAGAGCCTAGGACTTGCCGATCGGAAGGTTGGCGGTTCGAATCCCCGTGACGGGGTGAGCTCCCGTTGCTCGGTCCCTGCTCCTGCCAACCTAGCACTCCAAAAAGTGCAAGTAGATAAATAGGTACCGCTCCGGCAGGAAGGTAAATGGCGTTTCCGTGTGCTGCTCTGGTTCGCCAGAAGCGGCTTAGTCATGCTGGCCACATGACCCGGAAGCTGTACGCCGGCTCCCTCGGCCAATAAAGCGAGATGAGCACCGCAACCCCAGAGTCGGCCACGACTGGACCTAATGGTCAGGGGTCCCTTTACCTTTACCTTTAAGGGGAGCTGGCTTCAGGCACCAGGCCGCTGGCAGACCAACTCTGTGTTACATCTGCAAACGTGATGTGAACGCTGGCAACATCAACTCCACCATGTGGGAATCTTTTGCAGACGACCACAAATACAGACAGTCAGGTTGTGCATCCATAGCAGTGACCGGCGGAGGAATGACCGCTGGGAGGAGCGCAAAGAGTCGAAACGCCATGGAGCATCTTCAGCAGCACAAACAGATGCCTTCGTCTGCCCCAGCTGCAACAAAACATGTCTCTCCTGTATCGGTCTCTACAGCCATAGCTGGTGCTGCAACCTTCCAGCGGTTTGACCTCAACCCCAAAGGCGCACTCCTCTATTTCCTCCCCGAGACAGTCAAACTTCTCTGAAGTCTCTCAGCCCCACTCACCTCACAGAGTGTTTGTTGTAGGGGAGGAAGGGAAAGGAGAATGTTAGCCGCTTTGAGACTCCTTCGGGTAGTGAAAAAGCGGGATATCAAATCCAAACTCTTCTTCTTCTTCTCAGCTAAAGCATCCCTGACAGGTGGCCGTCCAACCTGTGTGGTGTAGTGGTTAAGAGCGGTAATCTCGTAATCTGGGGAACTGGGTTCGCGTCTCCGCTCCTCCCCATGCAGCTACTGTGACCTTGGGCTAGTCACACTTCTCTGAAGTCTCTCAGCCCCACTCACCTCACAGAGTGTTTGTTGGGAGGGGAGGAAGGGAAAGGAGATTGTTAGCCGCTTTGAGACTCCTGAAGGAGAGTGAAAGGCGGGATATCAAATCCAAACTCTTCTTCTCTTCTCTCTAAGGAATGAGAGATCATCACCTCTCATGGGAGTCTGTTCCACTGCCGAACAGCTCTTACTGTCAGAAAGTTTTCCCAAATGTGTATTCAGAATCTCATTTCTTGCCATTTGAAGCCGTTTGCCGGGGTCCTCTTGTTTGGAGCAGCAGTAAGCAAAACTTGTTCCGTTTTCCGAGTGACAGTCCTTCAGATATTGGAAGATGGCTACCTTGCTTGTTTATTTCATAGAATTCAAAAACAAAACAAAACAAAAACCTCAAGGCAGTTTACAAAAAAGATAAAACCAGAAAAAAACATTTTTCTCCACCCCACAATAGTTTAGAAAGAACTGCATTGTATGTTTCCAAGCATAATTCAAAGTGTTGGTGCTGACCTTTAAAGCCCTAAATGGCCTCGGTCCAGTATACCTGAAGGAGCATCTCCACTCCCATCATTCTGCCCGGACGCTGAGGTCCAGCTCTGAGGGCCTTCTGGCAGTTCCCTCACTGCGAGAAGTGAGGTTACAGGGAACCAGGCAGAGGGCCTTCTCGGTGGTGGCGCCCGCCCTGTGGAACAACCTCCCACCAGATGTCAAAGAGAACAACTACCAAACTTTTAGAAGACACCTGAAGTCAGCCCTGTTTAGGGACGCTTTTAATGTTTAACAGGTTATTGTATTTTAATATTTTGTTGGGAGCCACCCAGAGTGGCTGGGGAAATAATATACAGTGGTACCTCGGGTTACAGATGCTTCAGGTTACAGACTCCACTAACTCAGAAATAGTACCTCAGGTTAAGAACTTTACCTCAGGATCTGAACAGAAATCGCACGGCGGCGGCAGCAGCGGGAGGCCCCATTAGCTAAAGTGGTACCATTGGTTAAGAATAGTTTCAGGTTAAGAACGGACCTCCAGAACAAATTAAGTTCTTAAGGCTGGCTTAATTAGCAATTGACACTTTTAATTGGCTTTTAACACTTGCTGGGTGCAGAGGCTGGGAATGTCTGCAGCACAGCTTAGCACGCCAAGCCTTGATTAAATTCCGACACTTGCAGGATCCAGGCGTCTGGCACACACAAACTAACAACTCCCATTACAGTAAGCCCACAATTTGCATGCATTTAACTCGCCTGCATTCAGCTTTAGGCGCTTGGCAAAAAAATAATAATTAAATTACCGTCTTTTTCACTCTATAACACGCACCCGACCATAACACGCACGTAGTTTTAGTTTTTTACCTCATCTGTCTCCTGAGAAATCTCTATGTGGGACAAGAAGCTACAGTTAGAACTGGATCTGGAACAACTGATTGGTTCAAAATTGGGAAAGGAGTACGGCAAGGCTGTATATTGCCTCCCTGCTTATTTAATTTATATGCAGAATACATCATGCGAAAGACTGGGCTGGATGAATCCCAAGCTGGAATTAAGATTGCCGGAAGAAATATTGACAACCTCAGATATGCAGATGACACAACCTTGATGGCAGAAAGTGAGGAGGAATTAAAGAGCCTTTTAATGAGGCTGAAAGAGGAGAGCGCAAAATATGGTCTGAAGCTCAACATCAAAAAAACGAAGATCATGGCCACTGGTCCCATCACCTCCTGGCAAATAGAAGGAGAAGAAATGGAGGCAGTGAGGGATTTTACTTTCTTGGGCTCCATGATCACTGCAGATGGTGACAGCAGCCACGGAATTAAAAGATGCCTGCTTCTTGGGAGAAGGGCAATGACAGGCCTAGACAGCATCTTGAGAAGTAGAGACGTCACCTTGCCAACAAAGGTCCGCATAGTTAAAGCCATGGTTTTTCCAGTAGTGATGTATGGAAGTGAGAGCTGGACCATAAAGAAGGCTGATCGCCGAAGAATTGATGCTTTTGAATTATGGTGCTGGAGGAGACTCTTGAGAGTCCCATGGACTGCAAGAAGATCAAACGCATCCATTCTTAAGGAAATCAGCCCTGAGTGCTCACTGGAAGGACAGATCCTGAAGCTGAGGCTCCAAGACTTTGGCCACCTCATGAGAAGAGAAGACTCCCTGGAAAAGACCCTGATGTTGGGAAAGATGGAGGGCACAAGGAGAAGGGGACGACAGAGGACGAGATGGTTGGACAGTGTTCTCGAAGCTACAAACATGAGTCTGACCAAACTGCGGGAGGCAGTGGAAGACAGGAGTGCCTGGCGTGCTCTGGTCCAGGGGGTCACGAAGAGTCAGACACGACTAAACGACTAAACAACAACAACAACAAGTTTTTAGAGGAGGAAAATCCGTAGGCATGCCACCTGTAGACATTCCCTCCATAACACGCACAGACATTTCCCCTTACTTTCTAGGAGGGAAAAAGTGAGTGTTATGGTGCAAAAAATACGGTAAATTAAAGGGGGCTGACCTCCCTCCCGGAAGAAAGACTTTGGCAATCCCACCCACCATTGAACTCAGTGCATTTTGACTATATGTGATTTTGGCTTTAGGCACCACCCTTAGACTGTAATTTCATATATGGTGGAACTGTGTAGTTATTCGTGAATTTCGGAACAACATCTACAGTGAACCCAATAAATTATTTAAATTTACATTTGAAAAAAGACCAGAGATCTTCCTATTAGGTATACTACCAATAGAATTTTTCAAAAAGTATAAGACCATTGTTTATGTATGCAAGGGGTCAGCAAACTTTTTCAGCAGGGGGCCGGTCCACTGTCCCTCAGACCTTGTGGGGGGCCGGACTATATTTGGGGGGTGGGGGGAATGAACGAATCCCTATGCCCCACAAATAACCCAGAGATGCATTTTAAATAAAAGCACACATTCTACTCATGTAAAAACACGCTGATTTCCAGACCATCTGTAGGCCAGATTGATAAGCCGATGTTTGCAATCATGGCAGCTAGAATAATAGTGGCAAGAAACTGGGAAAATGAAGCACTACCAATGATTACAGAGTGGCAGACCCTCATGATAGAATACCTGCAACTAGCAAAACTGATTGGAATTGTTTCAAACCAGAAAGTTTAAGGAGAATGGAAAATATTTAAGGAACATCTAAAATTGTATGGTACAAACAACAATATACTTGCAGAACTAGCTTGATACTTGCAAGCCAAAAGTGTATTAGATATCTTATTGGACTATACAAAAACAGTATGAAATAATATAAATCTGTGCAAGAAATCATAGATAATATAAGCAGTATAATGAGAATGATTGGAGGCTTTACATTCACAGCTTTTTATTTAATTGTAATACACTGTATTTTCTTTTCTTCTTTTCTTCTCCCCCTTTCTTTCTTCGCTTCCACTTTGTATGACTCGTTATCTATGTATTTTATGTAGTTTATGTGTTAAACTAATAAAGAATATATTTAGGAAAAAGACTGTAACCCCCATGTAATACCTAAAAGGTAAAGGTAAAGGGACCCCTGATCGTTAGGTCCAGTTGTGGCTGACTCTGGGGTTGCGGCACTCATCTCGCTTTACTGGCCGAGGGAGACGGCGTACAGCTTCCGGGTCATGTGGCCAGCATGACTAAGCCGCTTCTGGCAAACCAGAGCAGCGCACGGAAACGCCGTTTACCTTCCCGCCAGAGTGGTACCTATTTATCTACTTGCACTTTGACGTGCTTTCGAACTGCTAGGTTGGCAGGAGCAGGGACTGAGCAACGGGAGCTCACCCCGTCGTGGGGATTCGAACCGCCGAACTCCTGATCGGCAAGTCCTAGGCTCTGTGGTTTAACCCACAGCGCCACCCGCGTCCCTCATGTAATACCTACTGTATACAAATCAATGGCCCTGATCCAGGAGCCAGATTCTTTGAATACCCTTCTGGCAAAACACTGAACCTGGCAGAAGAGTGGTTGCAACCTGCACCATCCATTGAGAGCCCCTGGCTTCCCTTCCTATTCCTCTCTCTCTCTCCCTCTTTTGCATTTAATTATATTTCTCGATACTTGTCAAAAGATATACAAAAGTTCATACCCAATACAAAGTATCCTTTTTTTTATAATACACTGAAATAAAAGGGATGTCTAATCTGAAAAGGGAATTTGTCTATAATCCTCTTTTAAAACTGGCTAGGTTGGTGCCCTTTTGCACGCCACCCGAATTTCGAGATTCCAGGGGTGAGGGACCTTTGGGCGCTCTAGGTGCTGCTGAACTACAACTCCCATCAGCCCCTGCAAGAAAGGCCCAGGACTAGGAACGAAGGGCGCTGCAGAGGAAGTACAGGGGTACATCGGGTTACATACACTTCAGGTTACAGATGCTTCAGGTTGCAGATTCCGCTAACCCAGAAATAGTACCTCGGGTTAAGAACTTTGCTTCAGGATGAGAACAGAAATCGTGCTCCAGCGGTGCGGCGGCAGCAGGAGGCCCCATTAGCTAAAGTGGTGCTTCAGGTTAAGAACAGTTTCAGGTTAAGAACGGACCTCCAGAACGAATTAAGTACTTAACCCGAGGTACCACTGTATGGCTATTAACTCGGGTGAAATCTACACATATATTAAAAAAAAAATGCTGTGAAAATGTATTTAAAAAATGCTTTAAAAATATATATTGAATTTGTCATTAGCTCACCAGTGCCGTGTAGTGTCACATTTGTATAACGCACTTAAAACGTTATATTTGCAGCTTTAAATGAGGGTTAAGACAAATTCACAGAGGATATGAACACCAGCGGCTATTGTTGTTGTTTAGTCGTTTAGTCGTGTCCGACTCTTTGTGACCCCATGGACCAGAGCACGCCAGGCACTCCTGTCTTCCACTGCCTCCCGCAGTTTGGTCAAACTCATGCTGGTAGCTTCGAGAGCACTGTCCCACCATCTCGTCCTCTGTCGTCCCCTTCTCCTTGTGCCCTCCATCTTTCCCAGCATCAGGGTCTTTTCCAGGGAGTCTTCTCTTCTCCTGAGGTGGCCAAAGTATTGGAGCCTCAGCTTCAGGATCTGTCCTTCCAGTGAGCACTCGGGGCTGATTTCCTTCGGAATGGAGAGGTCTGATCTTCTTGCAGTCCATGGGACTCTCAAGAGTCTCCTCCAGCACCAGAATTCAAAAGCATCCATTCTTCAGCAATCAGTCTTCTTTATGGTCCAGCTCTGCCTTGTCGTGGCGAAGGGGCTTCAATAACTCAGAGAAGCTATGAGCTATGCCGTGCAGGGCCACCCAAGATGGACAGGTCATAGTGGAGAGTTTTGACCAAACGTGATCCACCTGGCCAGAAAACTCCATGGACAAAGACAACAGGCTTTTCCTTAGGACGTCCCAATTATTATTATTATTATTATTAATCACCTTTGTTTACTGCTCTAGACCCTCAGGGTGGTTCACAACACTATATTGCAATATAGTTTGTTCTTTCATTTTGGACTTTGCTTCAGGGGAAAAAATCACTTGGCAATATAAGATCTTTGGCTGAAGGGCTGAATGGGGCTGTTTTGCAGCTGTATGTTGGGCCTTCATCTCACGTGTTTATAATTAACAATTCCTCCCGTCTCTTGGCCTCGCTGGACTTATAGAAAATATTCCTAGTTTTCAGTCACATCATGCCTTTTCAAATCCTTCCTGACTTTGCTATTGTTGTTCGATACAGCTTAAAAAAATAGAGATTCATTAATTTAATGTAATATAAGGCATACCTGATATAATGATCACTTTCGGTCTGTATCATCCTACCTGTTTTGACTGTTCTTTCTTGGTTTTACTGTACATCACTTTCATTAAAAACCCAATAAAAGTTATTGCAAAGAAAGAAAACTCGCTTCGGCCCTAATAGGTGCGCGAGGTGCTGCTTTCACTTTCTGTTCTTATACAAGTGCAGATCCCTTCCCACCGTCTGCTCTCACCTGCCCTGGATCTCTCGCGATCCCAGCTGGAGGGTTTTCCCTCGAACCGGATCGCTCAGCCTCTATAGGAGCAACGCGCTCAACGGCCACTAGAGGGCAATAGAGCAGCGCGTTTCCGCGCCCGCCCAGCCATAGGAGGACGTTCGGTGCCTTGAGGAGTGACAAGCCGAGGCGCCAATAGCCGGCGTCGAGAGGCGGGCGCAGCTCTGGGCGGGGTTCTTGCTGGATGTCCGAGGTCCCTTGGACCAATAAGCGACGCCGGGTCGAGCTGCCCGTCTCGGATTGGGTGCTCCACGCCCCCTCCCCCGCCCACACACTCGAGGAGAGGGAGGGAGGAGAGGGGAGGGTCTTGTAGTGTTAGGGGCGGAGCCACCGCTCTGACTGACGGCGAGCGTGGCTAACGAGGGAGCCCTGGGAGGCGACTGACGTCGCCAAGAGCCAATGGCGGCGCGGGAGCGGTTGAGCGGGCGGCCAATGGGAGAGCGGCGAGGAGGCGGCTTTCGCTGGAGACGGCAGTTGAGGTGGGGGCGGCGCGCAGGTAAGTTGGCTTTTGGGGGGCCTCCGTCCCCTATTTAAACCCACCTCATTCCTGCCTCCCTCAAAACAGTAGCCCCTCCCCCCGTCTCCTAATAGCCGCCTCCCCCTCATTAATGCTAATTAACCCCAGGCAATTAGCGCTAATTAACGCCCCCCCGCAATTAAGAACATAAGAAGAAGACTCCTGCCTCAGAGTCTAAGCAGTAGCCCCTCCTAGTCCGAATAACCGCCTCCCCCTCATTAATGCTAATTAACCCCAGGCAATTAGCGCTAATTAACGCCCCCCCCCCGCAATTAAGAACATAAGAAGAAGACTCCTGCCTCAGAGTCTAAGCAGTAGCCCCTCCTAGTCCTAATAGCCGCCTCCCCCCCCATTAATGCTAATTAACCCCAGGCAATTAAGACTAATTAATACTAATCAACGCCCCCCATTAAGGACGTGAGAAGATTCCTACCTTAGACGATAGCTGTCAACGTTTCCCTTTTTTTTAAGGGAAATTCCCTTATTCCGAATAGGAAAGGGAAAAGTTGACAGCTATGCCTCGGACCCCAAACAATTGCCCCTCCCACAATAAATGCTAATTTTTGCTAATTGACGCCCCTTAAAACCTTAAGAATCCTGATTCCGACCCCAAACAGTAGCCCTGCCCACAGTTAATGCTAATTAACACCATCCCACAATTAATGCTAATTGACACCCCTTAAAACCTTAAGAATCCTGATTCAGACCCCCAAACAGTAGCCCTGCCCACAGTTAATGCTAATTAACATCCACAATTAATGCTAATTGACGCCCCTTAAAACCTTAAGAATCCTGATTCCGACCCCCAAACAGTAGCCCACCCACCGTTAATGCTAATTAATGCCCTCCCTATTAAGACCATAGGAAGGCTGCTTTCTCGGACTCCAATGAGTAGCCCCTCCTACTCCCAGTAGTCGCCTCCCCACCATTAATGCCTAGCATCTCCTGCCCTTAAAGGTAATTATCCCCTCCTTGTCACTGCTAAATGCTAATTGAAGTCCCCACCCCCAGTTAAAAATATATGGATAGCCTGGCTGGGTCAGGCGAAAGGCCAGTCAAGTCCAGCTTCCTGCTATCAGGGGGGCCACCCAGGCCTCGGACACGGGGAGCCTGCAAGGATAAATTGATGCTAATTAATCCACCATTATGCTCATTATCACAGTTTCCCTATCCCTGTTGCAGATCCTCTGGGGGGAGCTTTTCTGTCCCTTGCTGCCATCCCATTTCCCCTCCCACTTGTCTCTCCTTATTTTTCTATGTTTTCCCAATCTCACTGAATCCAATACTGTCCCTCCATCAGTCTGGCTAGTTGTGGCCACACTGGGCCATGAGAAAAATTCAGGAAAATGGCACTAAGTGACTCTCGGACACTATAAAGGTAAAGGTACCCATGCCCATACGGGCCAGTCTTGCCAGACTCTAGGGTTGTGCGCTCATCTCACTCTATAGGCCGGGAGCCAGCGCTGTCCGCAGACACTTCTGGGTCACGTGGCCAGCGTGACAAGCTGCATCTGGCGAGCCAGCGCAGCACATGGAAACACCGTTTACCATTCCCGCTGGTAAGCGGTCCCTATTTATCTACTTGCACCCGGGGATGCTTTCGAACTGCTAGGTGGGCAGGCGCTGGGACCGAACGACAGGAACGCACCCCGCCGCGGGGATTCAAACCGCCGACCATGCGATCGGCAAGTCCTAGGCGCTGAGGTTTTACGCACAGCGCCACCCGCGCCCCTAACTCGGACACTATGGGGGAGACAAGAAAATTAACAGTTCTCAGTTACTGGCCATTCTCTCCCAGCAGAAATATTTTTCTTAATTCTGAACCTGTGGGGTGGGAGAAACTATTATCCAAAGGACATCTGTGTGTGATTTTGTGATTGCTTCACACCCTCCTGATAAACTTCCCTGCCCTTGTTTCCCCCCCCCCCCCACATAGATAATTGTGCGTGGAAGGCTGCTGTTCAAGGCTGCCCACTTCCTGCCCTGTGAGGCGGGCAGAGAGATTGCTGGTCGCAACATGGCCAAGCTGCACGGGCTGCAAGCGGACTATGTTTTCCGTGGTGTTGAGCACATCGTCCGGATGTCGGTGGATGGGAACCTTCTGGAAGTAGAAGTGGAGGACCGTCTCACCACGGACCAATGGCGGGGGGAGTTTGATGCTGCTTGTGAGTAATAAATCTGACACTGAGGAAGCTGTGCTGATGTGAACGGCTTAGGAGGGGGAAGAGCTGTGAAATGCCCAGCTACACTGTGCTGCTAGATGGGAAACCAAACTGGCAGGTGCAGAGATGAGCCAGTTGCCCTCTGCAGTTGCCCTTCTGGCTCTGCTTTGTCCCTGCCTCTGCTGGGCACTTGAAGCCCCGTGTCTTTAATAATAATAATAATAATAATAATAATTTTATTTATACCCCACCCTTCCCAGTTCAAAAACCGGGCTCAGGGCGGCTAACAACAAATTTAAAACACTTTAAACCACTTAAAACACTTAATTATAAAAGCAGCATAAAATACAATATAAAAACATGAATAACAATAAAATTCAAAAATCAATTAGAATAGAATAGAATAGAATAGATTCTTTATTGTCATTACACAAGTGCAACATTGCACAAAGTGCAACGAAATTGGATGCCATCCCTTAAAACAACAAAAGCAAAACAACAACAACAACCAAACAAACCACATTCCAGCCACACCCACACCAACACCCATCAAACTCCCAGGTCACACTATCGAGTTACAGCATTCAAAAAGGCCACAGCTCTTGGATAGAAACTGTTTTTCAGTCTATTTGTCTTTGACTTGATGTTTCTATATCTCCTGCCAGAAGGCAGTAGTGCAAACAGACTGTGTCCCGGGTGAGATGAATCCTGCAGGATGTTATTTGCTTTCCTAAGACAACGGGAACCGTACAGTTCTTCCAAAGATGGGAGAGGATGACCAATAATCCTTTGGGCTGTGGTTATGACCTTCTGGAGCACCTTCCTCTCCCTAGCTGTACAACTGGAGAACCAAGCACAAATACAGTATGTAAGAATGCTCTCTATGGAGCCTCGGTAGAAGGACACCAGCAGTCTCTCACTCAGATTGTTCTTCTTTAAAAGTCTGAGGAAATAAATTCTCTGCTGGGCCTTCTTCACCAGAGCAGTGGTATGTGCGCTCCAAGTCATGCCCTGATCGATAGTTACTCCCAAAAACCTGAATTCCGCCACCCTCTCCACCCGTTCCCCGTTGATATACAAGGGCTGAATGTCCGCCTTTTTTTTCCTGTAATCCACCACCAATTCCTTGGTCTTAGCCGTATTAAGAGCCAGATTGTTCTCTCCACACCAAACACAGAGCCGCTCCACCTCGTCCCGATAGGCGGACTCATCCCCTCCTGAAATGAGCCCTACCACCGTAGTGTCATCAGCAAACTTGATGATTTTGTTGCTGGAATAGATGGCTGTACAGTCATACGTATAGAGAGCATAGAGCAATTAGATAATCCCCAAGGCTAGCTGGCTGAATTGGTCCTATTTGTACCAGCGAGGAGGTCAGGGGAGAATTAGCTGTGGGGTCTTAGAGCGGGTGATCTTTATAAAAGGGGAGGGGGAGGGAAGAGAAGGGAAATAAAAGATGAGGCTGAATTCAAATTAAAGGCCAGGCGGAATAGCTCTGTCTTACAGGCCAGACGGAAGGAGGTTAAATCCTGAAGGGCCCTAGTCTCCTGGGACAGAGCATTCCACCAGAGCATTTCAAACGATAAAATACTGGTTCCATTTCCCTCTTGCTCTCAAATTCCCAAGTTAAGCCATTACATGCTCCCTATTACATGCCAAAATCAGCATCCCTCATGTTTTACCTTTTCTTCCAGTCATTGAAGACCTCACTCACAAGACTGGGAATTTCAAGCAGTTTGGGATCTTCTGCAGCATGCTAGAGTCGGCCATTTCCCAGGTGAGGCTCAGCTTAGCTTTGGGGCAGCCATGGAAAAGTCTATGGAAATGTGTCTCGCACAGAGTTCCTGAGGCTTCTTGACCGTTGCCGCTTTCCTAGGCTTCCTCTCCCTTTGGTCCCTTCTCCCCTGCCACCAACCATCCATCCATTCCACAGGTGGGCATCTCGAGATTTCTTCGTCTGTAGTCCTCTCCTCGGTGTGAACACGGCACATAAAAGCCTCAATCTTTAAAAACAAACAAACAAACAAACAAACAAACAAACAAACAGAAACACACATTACTATCAGGTAGGTAGCCATGTTGGTCTGCTGTAGTCGAAACAATAAAATAAAATATAAATATAAGAAATACCTTCCAGTAGCATGGTAAAGGTAAAGGGACCCCTGACCATTAGGTCCAGTCGTAACCGACTCTGGGGTTGCAGCGCTCATCTCACTTTATTGGCCGAGAGAGCCGGCGTACAGCTTCCGGGTCATGTGGCCAGCATTACTGAGCTGTTTCTGGCGAACCAGAGCAGCGCACGGAAACGCTGTATACCTTCCCGCTGGAGCAGTACCTATTTATCTACTTGCACTTTTGACGTGCTTTCTAACTGCTAGGTTAGCAGGAGCAGGGGCCGAGCAACGGGAGCTCACCCCGTAGCCGGGATTCAAACCACCAACCTTCTGATCGGCAAGCCATAGGCTCTGTGGTTTAACCCACAGCGCCACCCGCGTCCCTTAGTAGCACATTAAGACCAACTAAGTTAGTTATTGGCATGAGCTTTCGTGTGCATGCACACTTCTTCAGATGTGAAGAAGTGTACATGAAAGCTCATACCAATAACTAACTTAGTTGGTCTCTAACGTGCTACTGGAAGGTATTTTATTCATTTTATTTATTTTGTTTTGTTTCGACACATTAATAAGTAAATAATGGGGGGGACTCCAATCTAATGTGGCTGCTGCTGATGGGAGTTGTAGTCTGAAACATCTGGCAGGCACCAGGTTTGAGAAGGGACCTCCAGAATGTCAGGCCTCCTTTATGTGTTTCATCTTTCCCCCCCCCCCCTGCCTTGACGACTTACGGTGTTTCTACCACATGCCCTCCCAGGTTCCTGCATCTTAAATCCTGCCACCGTGGTCCCCTTTCTTTCTTGAATTCCTGTCCTTCCCTAGTCTGAGAGTCGCTTCTTCCAGGATAAGGACTGGCTGTGTAAACGGTCCTTGATGTAGTTTTGATTGTGTGGGCTTTTCCCCTACAGAGCAGCGAGTCGGTCACTCTGGACCTCCTCACTTACACAGACCTGGAGTCGTTAAGGAACAGGAAGATTGGAGTGGGTCCCCGGCACACGGCGGCTGCCAAAAACTCCCCGCTGAGCTCCAAGCGCTACCTCATCTTGATCTACTCGGTGGAATTTGACAGGTGAAAGGGGAACCCCGACTGCATGACCAACAGGGAGCCTTGGGGTGACAAGGGGGCTTGGGGAAATGGAGGGCACCTCATTTGTAGCTAAACATTCACCCAAAGGCCCCATAGCCAGCCACAGATTTATTGCAGGTGCGATGGGGACAGGTGAACCTGGCCTTTCTGGAAGACCCAAGTATCTTGTAAGAGCTGTGGGGTTGCCAGAGAGACAGCATAACCTTATAACTTGGAGGGAAGCAGCTAATGAAACCAGCCCTTCCCTTTGCTGTGTGGGAGGAAGGAGGAGGCGGAAGACCAGGGTCCTTTCCACTCCTTTTTTGATTCGAAAACAGCAAACAACGAGGCGGGAGCAAAGGCCCTTCCTGCCTCTTAGCCCAGGTCTGTCCAGGGAGCAGCCCCCCTTTTCCCAAAGCAAGAAGAGAGGGGAAGATCAAGGACCACAGCCATCTTTGCCAAGCTGGGGCCTTCCAGACGCTTTGGACTACACCCACCTGGGGCTGATGGGAATTGTAGTTCAAAGCGGCTAGAAGGCCCAGCTTGGCAAAGGCTGCTCTGCAGGGATATGCAGAGGAATAAGCATTCAATATTGGTAGCAGTTGGGACGCGGGTGGTGCTGTGGGTTAAACCGATCAGACTTGCCGATCAGAAGGTCAGCAGTTCGAATCCCCACGACGGGGTGAGCTCCCATTGCTGGGTCCGTGCTCCTGCCAACCTAGCAGTTTGAAAGCACGTCAAAGTGCAAGTAGATAAATAGGTACCGCTCCGGCGGGAAGGTAAACGGCGTTTCCGTGCGCTGCTCTGGTTCGCCAGAAGTGGCTTAGTCCTGCTGGCCACATGACCCAGAAGCTGTACGCCGGCTCCCTCAGCCAGTAAAGCGAGATGAGCGCCACAACCCCAGAGTCTGCCACAACTGGACCTAATGGTCAGGGGTCCCTTTACCTTTACCTTATTGGCAGCAGTTACAGGGAAGAAAGTTCTTGCCTTTCCCTTTCTGTGGGTTGGTTTTGGCTGTCTCTTCCGGACAGGGAGGCAGGAAGCAGCGAGGGTTGCTAGCCAGTCCCCTCTTGGGAGGGGGCCTCTTCCCTCCTAGTCAAACAGAGCGTTTGCCTGGTCTGTTAAGCACCAGAACCAACCAACCCCTTGACATTTGCTCCTGTCTGCAGCAAGGTGCAGTGCAGGGGGTCCTGACTTGTGGTTGCCTTTCCTTGTTTCCCGGCAGGATCCATTACCCGCTCCCCCTCCCTTACATGGGCAAGCCGGATCCCGTCGTCCTGCAGAAGGTGATCCGGGAGCTCAAGGAGGAGTTGGCCCTGCTGAAGGCAAAGCCAAGCAAGGATTTCAGAGATGCTGAGATCCGCCGGCTTCGTGACGAGTGAGTGGGGGAGGCCGGGGGGGGGGGAACCTGAGCCATATCAGGCAGCTTCTCTCTGCAGGAGACATCAATGCGGCCTTCTGCATTTGCTGTTCCGGCATTTAGGAACCAGGATATCTGTGGCACCAGGAAATGGGTGTTTGAAGTGCTTCTTGGAACTGCTGGGTTCTTTCCCAGGGAGAGTGGAAGGTGTTGGGGTTTTTGTAAGGAGGGAGAGATACTCAAGGCATAGCTGTCAACGTTTCCCTTTTTTTAAGGGAAATTCCCTTATTCTGAATAGGATTCCTCGCAAGAAAAGGAAAAAGTTGACAGCTGTGACTCAAGAACTGCATCTCCCATCTTTGGGAGCTATTTGTGGTCACGGGCATGTAAATGCTACTTTGGAGTCAGTTTTCCTCCTCAAAGCATTGGTTCTGATCTGACTGATCCCCACTGATTTAAAATACAACCCTTAAATCTACCACGTTGATCTGTTGCTTCCCTATAAAAACGTTCAAGACAGCTTACAAAGAGCAAACAATCCAAATTAAGTCTTAAATTCCTTGTCCCGAAAATCCAAACAAGGGCAAGTATTGAAATGGCAGTGAAGCAAACTCTGTAGCTTCTCATGGGTTTGAGAAGGAGACTCGCTGTGCGAGGAAATGGTGCAGCAGGTCTGCCCTATTACCAGGAAGCAGCAGGAGTCAGGAGAACTGTGACAGATGTATTTATTTATGAACAGCAGATCAGCACTTCAGCATAGCAGCTAAGACTTGCTAGACAGGCAAAGCTAAGCTTCCCATTCATCCGTAGAGGGAACCACACCCAGCGAGAGGAGCTTTTATTACAGTTCTGGCGTGTCTCTTTAAGGAGACAGGCCAGACATTTTACAATATCAGTCAGGAAATGCAGTGCAGCAGGAGTGCAGCTGCTCTTTCCTTGAATTAATGATGATGATTAATTCAATTTATATACCACCCTTTATCAAAAGATCCCAGGGTGGTGTACAACATTAAAAACACATTAAAAAGGTAAAGGTACCCCTGCCCGTACGGGCCAGTCTTGACAGACTCTGGGGTTGTTCGCCCATCTCACTCAAGAGGCCGTGAGCCGGCGCTGTCCGGAGACACTTCCAGGTCACGTGGCCAGCGTGACGAAGCTGCATCTGGCGAGCCAGCATAGCACATGGAACGCCGTTTACCTTCCCGCTGGTAAGCGGTCCCTATTTATCTACTTGCACCCAGGGGTGCTTTCGAACTGCTAGGTGGGCAGGAGCTGGGACCGAGCAGCGGGAGCGCACCCCGCCGCGGGGATTTGAACCGCCGACCTTTCGATCGGCAAGCCCTAGGCGCTGAGGCTTTAACCCACAGCGCCACCCGCGTCCCCCTAAAAACACATTACAGAACATCAATAACAAAAAGTATACTGACCGACGTAAAATAGTCATCATAATAACAGTCCTCTTCCCCACACTTTCACAGGCCATAGATTATTTATCAGCCATAGGCCTGGGAAAAGAGGAGCGTTTTTTTGCCAGACGTCTAAATAATAATAATTTTATTTATATCCCGCCCTCCCCTGCCGAAGCCGAGCTCAGAGCAGCTAACAACAGTAAAATTATAAAACATTATAAAATCATTTCATTGTAAAATTAATTCCAACCAGATTAATGGCAACCATTGGGCTAGAGTTCTGTGGCTTTGCAAACCCACCTTTTAACGCTTAAACAACCTTTTCCAAACCTCAGCTGCAGGAAAGCTCAGGTCTCAAGCCTTGCACGGAAGAGATTCTCTCTCGGCTGCCGCTGATCCTGTCCCGGCGCTCCCTTTTTCAGGCTGCAGCACACCTTGGAGGAGAAACAGTCAGTGGAGACGGTCTTGCTGGGCCTCCAGGAGGAGCTGAAGCTCACCAACAAGAGCAGCGCCTTTAAGGAGGTCAAAATCCTCAAGAAGGTCGTGCAGAGCCTGGAGGAGGAGCTGACCAAGGAGAGAGCGAAGCACCAGCGGATCGCTAACAAGCGCCTGCAGGAGAGCCGGCAGCTTGCCGACGAGGTGGGCTGGGCCTTAATAATAATAATAATAATACAGTGGTGCCTCGCAAGACGAAATTAATTCGTTCCGCGAGTTTTTTCGTCTTGCGATTTTTTTCGTCTTGCGAAGCACGGTGTCGGGAAAGTTTTGGAAAAGCTTCAAAAATCACCAAAGTCTTCAAAAACCTCAAAAAAGGCTACCACACCGCGTGCTATGCGTTGCTCCTCGAAGTCAAGTCGCAACTGTATTAACGGTGTTAAGAAAAAGGAAACAAACTTGCAAGACGTTTCCGTCTTGCGAAGCAAGCCCCTAGGGAAAATCGTCTTGCGAAGCAGCTCAAAAAACCAAAAACCCTTTCGTCTTGCGAGTTTTCCGTCTTGCGAGGCATTCGTCTTGCGAGGTACCACTGTAATAATAATTTTTATTTATACCCCGCCCTCCCCAGCCAAGGCCGGGCTCAGGGCGGCTAACAAGCAATAATAAAAACAAGTTGAATGATTACAACTTAAAAACAAAATTAGAATACAACATTAAAATATTGAAACATTAAAATATTAAAATATAGCCTCATCGCAGGAGGAGAAAGGAAAAGAAAAAAGAAAGAGAGGGAGGGAGGGAATCAAATTGGCTCCAAGCCAAAGGCCAGGCGGAACAACTCTGTCTTACAGGACCTGCGGAAAGAAATCAGATCCTGCAGGGCCCTGGTCTCATGAGGCAGAGCGTTCCACCAGGCCGGGGCCAGTGTTGAAAAAGCCCTGCCCCTGGTTGAGGCTAATCTGACTTCCTTAGGGCCTGGGACCACTAGGGTGTTGTTATTTATGGACCTTGAGGCTCTCCGTGGGGCATACCGGGAGAGGCGGTCCCGTAGGTACGAGGGTCCTAGGCCGTGAAGGGCTTTAAAGGTCAAAAGCAGCACCTTAAATCTGACCCTGTACTCCACCGGGAGCCAGTGCAGCTTGAAAAGCACTGGGTGAATATGCTCCCATGGCAGAGACCCCGTGAGGAGCCTCGCTGCAGCATTCTGCACCTGCTGGAGTTTCTGGGACAGCTTCAAGGGCAGCCCCGCGTAGAGCGAATTACAGTAGTCAAGCCTGGAGGTGACCGTCGCATGGATCACTGTGGCCAGGTTGGGGCGGGAAAGCTAAGGGACCAACTTACAGGATCCTCGTTCCACTGGGCGGGTTGGGGAGAGGGCTTATAGTAGGCTGCTGAAAGAACAAAGACCTCAGTGCGGAAGCGCTCGTCCGAGCTCAGCTCTGCTACTGAAAACAAAGCCTTAGGCGTGGAATGTGCTCAGAGGCACCTCCTGGTCTTTTATTTCCACTGCGTCCTTTCCACTTCATTTTGGGGGTCCGAGGTAGAAAAACGCCAAAGATCGAATAAGCCTGGAATCTGCCCACCCTTGGTGGAAAGGGCAAGGCTCCTCTCTTCCCACTGACAAGAGCCGTGGGACTGATGGGGGGGGGGGTCATGGTGAGGAGAGAGGGAGGGACGGCCAGCCTTCCTCCAAGACTAGGAACCCCTAGAAACACCAGCTCCTTCATTTCATTCACTTTTAATTTGCATACTGCCTTTCTATATTACTCTATGCAAGGCGGTTTACGGCAAAACATGCAACAAAAATCACACACCTTAGAACACGGGTAGAACACGGGTAGGCAAACTAAGGCCCGGGGGCCGGATTTGGCCCAATCGCCTTCTCAATCCGGCCTACGCACGGTCCAGGAATCAGCGTGTTTTCACATGAGCAGAATGTGTCCTTTTATTTAAAATGCATCTCTGGGTTATTTGTGGGGCATAGAAATTCGTTCATTCCACACACACACACACAAAAAAAAATATAGTCCAGCCCCCCACAAGGTCTGAGGGACAGTGAAACTGCTGAAAAAATTTGCTGACCCCTACCTTAGAATAATCAAATTCAATACAGTGGTACCTCAGGTTACAAACTTAATTCATTCCAGAGGTCCGTTCTTAACCTAAGGCGTGCTTTCGCTAATGGGGCCTCCCGTTGCCACTGTGCCGCCGGCACACAATTTATGTTATCATTCTGGGGCAAAATTCTCAACCCGAGGTACTACTTCTGGGTTAGTGGAGTTTGTAACCCAAAGTGTTTGTAACCCAAGCTGCCACTATTCAGAAAAGTCATAATAAAAACATAACTTTAAACAACTTGCAGCAAGTAAGGTTGTTGTTGTTTAGTCGTTTAGTCGTGTCCGACTCTTCGTGACCCCATGGACCAGAGCATGCCAGGCACCTCTGTCCTCTACTACCTCCCGCAAGTAAGGTAATATTCAATAATCCATTGGAACGTAATAGTACACAATAGCATTCTCTCAAATTATCAGTAAATAATAATTAAACAGAAATTCACTCTTAGCAATTACAGTGGTACCTTCGTTTTCGAACGCGCCTTCGAAACATGGCTACTGTTTTGAGGCTTCCACTTTCAGTTTTTGGACATTTCAGAACTCGGAATGGACTTTCGGAACAGATTATATTCGAAAACCGAGGTACCCCTGTACAATAAATAATTACTAAACTATAATCAACAAAAATAGCAGCAAGTCACAATACATAAAATGCCCCACCACATTCTGCAAATATCCACCCTGGACTCCTAGGTACCGACTCTGCTTTAATATACCCCCCATTATTCAGCCTGAGCCCTAACACAAGGCCCAAAAAGAGATCTTTCTGCCCACTGCAGCTGGCGGAGATGAAAGCGACAGAACGGAGCCTCCGGATTCGCGTGAAGAACCTGACCAACGAGCTGGCTTTGTACAAGAAAGGGTGAGCGTTCCTGACCCCTCGGCCCCTCTGCTTTGCTGCCAAAGGCAGCGGTTTCCATGCCGGACGCAAACCCACCCCTCTAGCCGCAGGCGTTCCTTTCTCTCCCCTCCCCAGGCGCTTCACCCCCTCCGGACCATCTCCCCAGAACCACCCCGCGCCCCCTCGCAATTTTGCGCACCCCACCCTGTCCCGAGGCAGCACCAAGAAGAGAGACGTCCGCCGCTCCACCTCGGAGGAGCGCTCGAACTCCCGGGAGCGCAGCGGCGCCTGGGGGCCCAGCCGGCAGAGGTCCACCTCCAGGGAGGGGCGCAGCGGGAGCCAGGGCCGCCTTCCTCGACAGTCCCCATCTCCTACAGGTGAGAGGGGTGGGTCACCCTCCCCATGCACCCCCCCTTCCCTGGCACCAGGCCTGCCTGGCACAGTGGCTGGTAGGAAGGAGAAGCCTCCTTCGAAGGGGGTGTGCTGGGCACAGAAAGGAGCAGGCCTCATTATCCTCTCCCTGCCTGGCTCCGAGTTACCAACAGATCCAAACTCCTCCTCTTCTTCTCAAGGTGCCAGGCAAGTAAAGCTGCCTTTTTCAGCACATGTTTTGTTTTATCTGCTAGATCTGAGGGGGAGGGCCGGAGTCAAGTACTGCAGCTCGTGAAACTACTCTTCTGACACCACATCTCTTGCTTCTGAGATACCGTATTTTTCGCTCTATAAGACGCACTTTTCCCCTCCTAAAAAGTAAGGGGAAATGTGTGTGCGTCTTATGGAGCGAATGCAGGCTTCGCGGGCTATCCCAGAAGCCAGAACAGCGAGAGGGAGCGCTGCGCTGCACTCCCTCTCTCTCTCTGGCTCTTCAAGCTTCTGGCTTAGCCATGCGAAGCCTCCGCAGGGGAGCGGGGAGCCTTCATCCCGCTGTCCTGCAGAGGCTTCGCGCAGCTATCCCTGGCCTTTGCCGGAGGTGGGGGAAGGGACAGAGTGCACCGCTTGGTCTCCTGGCTTCAGAGATAGCCCTGCAAAGCCTCCTGAGCAAAGAGGGAGGAGCGCTCCCTCTTCATTCAGGAGGCTTCTTATTTCTTGTTTTCCTCCCCTAAAAATTAGGTGCCTCTTATGGTCAGGTGCGTCTTATAGAGTGAAAAATACAATGCTCTGCATGTTAGAAGAGCCTTAGCTGTGGGATAGCTCAGTTGGTAGAGTGTGCGACTCTTGATCTCACGGTTGTGGGTTCAAGCCCTACCTTGGGCAAAAAAAATCCTGCATTGAAAGGGTTGGACTAGATGACCCGTGTGGTCCCTTCCAGCTCTGTGAATTTATGATCAGGTCAAAGGCCCGTCTAATCCAGCACTCTGTCCTATATGGTGGCCAGCCCAGGAGCAGAGCAGAGCGCGCTCCCATCAGAGTTCCCCAGTAGCTCATATTCAGAGGCGTTCTCGCCGCCATCCTTGACTCTCTAACAATAGGGGCTAGAAACTTGCTTGCCAGTTTTTGAAGCCGAGAACTGTGCCAGAGTTCAAATCCCACAACCGTGGAATGGAGGACCTCAGGACCTTATCTAAGCGCGATGTCCCCAAAGCTAGAATCCACATCCCACCTTGTGCAAAGAATGATGGGCTTCTTAACTCTCCGCAGGCAAAGCAAATCCTTGCCTTTTCAGCAAGGCTGCCTTTGCCTTGGGCACGAAGTCAACCCAGAACTGGGCCCTGGGAGCTTCTGCCCTGTAAACAGACCAGGTCCCTTCTGCTCTGCAGGACAGAACTGCCATAAGATGCCCTTCCTCCTTGAACACCCTCTTTCCCTCTCCTTCCCTGTAGGACCCCGGGCACCACGCTTTGACCCCACCGCCTTTGTGAAGGCCAAGGAGAGGAAGCAGAAGGAAGCGGAGCAGAAAAAGTGAGTCGCTCTCCTCCAGGGTCTGCCTCTCCCTGCCGCTCCCCCAACCCTGGCGGCTGCAGCATCCAGGCAAGGGCGAACGGCGCTCTTTGGGCTAATTTGTCCTGTCTCCCTCCAGAGAGCGATGCCTGCGGCGGGGGATGGGAGACACCCCGCCCAGCGGTTGGTGCCACCGCCTGCAGTCCAGGGGCCCCTCGGCTTTCAGCACCAGCGGTCTCGGGAAAAGCCGGGGCAGGAGTTCTTCAGGTGCGTTTCGCTGGGACCTTGCTCCCTGTTTCGTGTGCTGCGCAAATGACGCACGCAGCTGCATGGAGGCGCCAGGTCCCTGCCTCGAGGAGCTTCCAAAACCTCAGTTGGAGGTGGAGAGGGAAGTGGGCAGGCGTACGTGGGGGGGAACAGGCAATCGATTTCGCGTATTTTCATACTAGGCTGGGTTACAGGGCAGAATGGGAACTAGGGGGTTGCGGCAAAGGCTTTGCTTTAAGGTGGGACTCTTACATCATCTTCATCTTCCTCTGGGTAACTCTGGAAAATTCCCACATTTCCCCCCCCCCCACTTAGGATTGTACTCAACACTCTTTGTGAACCTAATGATCTTAGAGTCAGTCATCCATACCCTGTATGCACCTTTTTCGTACCCCATGAACAAACCATGTGCCCCACACTTTCCAAGCTTGCTGCTCTGTGGGGTGTGTACCACATGTCAGAACCAAAGATTCTCATGTGCTTGACGTAAGGTTTCTTACCAAACATCTTCTCATAGGGAGTACAACCAATAGGTGGTGACAATCTGCGATTATAAGTATAAACAAACAAGTTCAAAAACTTCTCAGGGAGATTGGCAACATGCAACAAGGTTTTTAGGCCTTGCAGCAATCCAATCTTCCAATCTCCCTTCTCAGAAGAGGAAGCTGAGGATAATGATGATGATGATCAGAGTTCGGATTCCAGCTCAATGGGCAGCGCTGCTGCTGGTGTCAGCAACAGTGATAACAGTGACGTGGGTGAAGTAAGGTTCTCCAGAAGCAGACTGTAAGGGAGAAAACTCCAGGGGTCTTTCGGTTAGAGAGAGCCTGGGGTGCTGCACCAGTGAGAGTGTCAGACCAGGACCTGGGAGCGACCAGGGTTCAAGTCCCCCACCCGGCCATATTGAAGCTCGCCGGGTGACACTGGCCCAGTCACTGCCTCTCAACCTCATCTGCCTCACAGCGTTGTTGTGGGGATAAAACGGATCTAGGCGGAGAACAATGTACTCCACCTATTTCTCTTTGGAGGGGGAAGCTGGGCTATAAACAATGGAGCAGGGGACCTTTGGACAACTTAGGAGTACAGTGGTGCCTCGCAAGACGAAATTAATTCGTTCCACGAGTTTTTTCATCTTGCGAAGCACGGTTTCGGAAAAGTTTTGGAAAAGCTTCAAAAATAACCAAAGTCTTCAAAAACCTCAAAAAAGGCTACCACACCGCGTTCTATGAGTTGCTCCTCGAAGTCAAGTCGCAACTGTATTAACGGTGTTAAGAAAAAGGAAACAAACTTGCAAGACGTTTCCGTCTTGCGAAGCAAGCCCATAGGGAAAATCGTCTTGCGAAGCAACTCAAAAAACAAAAAACCCTTTCGTCTAGCGAGTTTTTTGTCTTGCGAGGCATTCATCTTGCAAGGTACCACTGTAGATCTGAAGGGGGGGTAGGGACTAGGAACTTGTGCTGGATCTGGGAGCATACAGGAAGCCCGTGGAGTAACAGGAGGTTGCCAGCTAGATTGGAGGCGATTAAAGGTGAGACAAGGGAAGGCCAGAGAAGAGGGGATTGCAGGAGTCTAGCGGAGAAAGGCAGAGGGCCCAGGCCAGAGTCTTTGAGCCTTCCAAGTCCTTTCTGCGGCTGCTTCCCAAATTGAGCAAGCTGGCTTGTGAGCTCTCCTCTTTGATGCCTGGCTGGCGCTAAATGAATACAACCCAAGCAAAAGTGACAGTGCGCAGAAATGTTTGTCTGTTTGGGGAAATTAGCTTCTTACTTAGTTCTGAACATTCCCCGCACCCCTGTACGTGCAAACTTGCCTGATTTCCGCCAACAGCATCCGTACCTGTCCTGCCCTCTTTCTGCACTTGTGCACAACAGTTTGAAATTGCAATAAATATTTTGAAATATAAAATAGCAGTTGAAAAAAGAATACAGTGGTACCTCGCAAGACGAATGCCTCGCAAGACAAAAAACTCGCTAGACGAAAGGGTTTTTTGAGTTGCTTCGCAAGACGATTTTCCCTATGGGCTTGCTTCGCAAGACGGAAACGTCTTGCAAGTTTGTTTCCTTTTTCTTAACACCCTTGATACAGTTGCGACTTGACTTCGAGGAGCAACTCATAGAACACGGTGTGGTAGCCTTTTTTTGAGGTTTTTAAAGACTTTGGTGATTTTTGAAGCTTTTCCAAAACTTTCCCAACACCGTGCTTCGCAAGACGAAAAAAATCGCAAGACGACAAAACTTGCGGAACGAATTAATTTCGTCTTGCGAGGCACCAGTGTAGCAGGCTTCACAGTAGATCAGCAAGGAGAGATTCTCGTAGGTGCTTTAGTTAACGGTATTTATAGTTTGCTTTCTTTTCCCCCATTATGCCTGGTTTATATGTTCCGAGAGCCACTTTACACAGGCACGTCGCAGCGTTTGGGTGACTTGCCTGTGCGAAAGGGTCTTTGCCTCACCTGATCTCACCCTACGCTCTTTTCCTGCAGTGGAAAGCTTCCGCAGCCGGCGCTCATCCGCAAGCTCAGGGAGCGAACTGGACGATTACTCTGAGCCTGCTGCCCCAAGGTAAGGAAGGTGGGGCAGAAGGAGGCACAGCCTGATGCAAAGCTGTGCCGGAATGCCGAGCCGCGTCCTGCCAAAACCCCACACTTAGCTTTAAAAAGCAAGCTTTCTATGGGAGCAGAAGCGAATCTGATAAAGCTGCGGCAAAAATTCCCATTGCCAAGCAGGTCAAACACCCCTGTTCACACGAGGAAGGTCAGGGCTAGGAATCCAGGGCAGCTGTCTACCAGTTCCATCTGGTACGCAGCCTGAGACTCTACCTACTTGCAGACTGTCTTGCCAGAGTGGTGCATGCTCTAGTTATCTCCCGCTTGGACTACTGCAATGCGCTCTACGTGGGGCTACCTTTGAAGGTGACCCGGAAACAACAATTAATACAGAATGCGGCAGCTAGACTGATAACTGTTAGGGGCCACCGAGACCATATAACACTGGTCCTGAAAGACCTACACTGGCTCCCAGTACAGTTCTGAGCACAATTCAAAGTGTTGGTGCTGACCTTTAAAGCCCCAAATGACCTTGGTCCAGTATACCTGAAGGAGCGTCTCCACCTCCATCGTTCTGCCCGGACACTGAGGTCCAGCACCGAGGGCCTTCTGGCGGTTCCCTCACTGCGAGAAGCCAAGTTACAGGGAACCAAGCAGAGGGCCTTCTTGGTAGTGGCATCCGCCCTGTGGAACACCTTCCCACCAGATGTCAAGGAAATAAACAACTATTTGACTTTTAGAAGACATCTGAAGGCAGCCCTGTTGAGGGAAGCTTTTAATGTTTGCTGTTTTATTGTGTTTTTAATACTCTGTTGGGAGTCGCCCAGAGTGGTTGAGGAAACTTAGCCAAATGAGTGGGGTATAAATAATAAATAAATGATGATGATGATTCATTATTAAAGGCTTTGCCTGGCTCGGACACAGAGTTTGGGGTTGGGACATGATTGCAATGGGAGCGTTCATTAGCCTGATCCGGCCTGATGGGTTGTGTGTGTTGTCCCTTAGGGGGAGGAAGCGAGCAGTGAGGGGCAGGAAGCCTCTGAGTTCCTCATCCTGGAATGGCAGTACCGTGGTAAGCAGCCTGCCGCGTCGAGGTTCCTCTTTGGACAGAAAAGTGCTGGGCAAACTGAGCTCGCCGTCTGCCGAGACTCCTGGGCACTGGGGGCGGGTCTTGGGTTTTCCTTAGCTATCAGAGGTGAACTGACCAGTGCCACTCGTTCTCCCTGCAGATTCCCCACACGGATGGTGGCCACAGGAAGCACCTGGCCAGCACGCCTACTACAGGCCTGCGAGCGGACAAAGGTAAATCCCCCGGGGTCTCCAGTGGCCTCTTGAGATGAGGCGGCGCAGAGACTGGAGTGGGTTGACCTCTCCGGGTAACAGTGAAGTGTAATCCCCTCTTGAGAGCAAGTGTGGCGTAGCAGTTGAGAGTGTCGGAAGATCAGGATCCGACTCTTCTCTCGGCCGTGAAGGGTGACCTTGGGCCAGTCCCTGGCTCTCGTCCTAACTTACCTCACAGGTGGTTGTGAGAATCAAATAGGAGAACCATGTACAGTGTTACCTCGTGTTACATATGCTTCAGGTTACAGACTCCACGAACCCAGAAATAGTGCTTCAGGTTAAGAACTTTGCTTCAGGATGAGAACAGAAATCAGGCTCCGGCGGCAGCAGGAGGCCCCATTAGCTAAAGTGGTGCTTCAGGTTAAGAACAGTTTCAGGTTAAGTACGGACCTCTGGAACGAATTAAGTACTTAACCCGAGGTACCACTGTACAGTGGTACCTCTGGATGTGAACGGGACCTGTTCCAGAGCCCCGTTCACGTCCTGAAGCGAACGCAACCTATGCACGCATCTGCGTGGGTCGCAATCCGCCACTTCCGCGCATGCGCGTGACATCGTTTTTGTGTGCGCATGCGCGAGCGGCGAAACCCGGAAGTAACGCGCTCCATTACTTCCTGGTCGCCGTGGAGCGCAACCTGAAAATGCTCAGCCTGAAGCTACTTTAACCGAGGTATGACTGTACGCTAGTGCTTGCCAACTGGGCCCCCCATGATATTCTAAGGGGGCCACAGATGAAAAATGCATAAATGGGAGGCCACAGCATGAGGCTAGGGGGCCACAGAGGGAAGTGAGAAGTGAAGGGAATTTTTTTTAAAAAAAAATACATCTTGATTGGCTATCTGCTTGGCCAATCACAAGCAGGTAAGGGGGTGGCCCACCGGAGCCCAGCGCTCCTTTTTGCCCTGGGCATTTTCTTGGAGCAGTCCTGGGTGTTTTTTTCTGGCGGGAGAGGGCGATCGCTGAGGCTCCCCTTTTGACCAGTAGGGCCCGCGATCTAGAAACCCCAGGTCAGGTAAGTGTGGTGGTGTACTGGCAATGAGTAGGGTTGGGTGATGGTTGTTGCTGCCACCAGTGCTGGGCCGGTTACTGCTTGCTTGCTTATTTATTTATTTAGGCCAAGCCAGCCCATTGGCTCATCTGCATTGTCCACGCTTCCTGGCAGCAGTGACTGTCCAGGGTTTCAGATAAGGGGCATTCCCAGCCCTCCCTGGAGATTTGACCTCATTATTATTGGGCTCTGCCTCCAAGCCATAGCTAGCCCTTCCTCATTAGGCCTTGCCCAGAAAGTTGCGCCCCAGCTGGAAGAAGTTTAAGGAATATTTGAAAAAACACGTTAATTTTTAAGTTTTAGAATAGCTTTGGAAGTGGATATAGGCTGTAGGGTTAGAAGTAGAAGGTAATGTATTTCAAAATACTATTATTTGTAAGTGATAAAATGTGAAGTTTTTTATGGTTAAAGTAAGTGTGATTTTAAAAAATGGTTAGAAATCATGATATATGTAAACCGCTAAAGATGAAGTAAAATGGAAATCAGATAGGTGGGACTTGTTCAGAAAAATAAGGATGAGACAAGAATTTGTTTGTATTGCTTGTTTTTCTGTTTGTGTTCTTTATTTCTGTTATAAAATGAATTTTAAAAAATTGGGGGGGGGCAGAAAGTTGCGCCCCAGTCTCCCGGTCCTCTCGCATGGCAGTAACCCCGGTTGTCTTGTCCCACAGAGAACCTATACGACGAGCCATCAGCTGACCTCTCGGAGATTGACGCTCGACTGCAGGCGCTGCAGGAATACATGAATAAACTTGAGACCAGAACGTAACCCCTGGAGTAGAACAAATTAAGAGGGCCGCTGGGCCAGAATACAGGGAGCCTCCTTCCCCCACCCACCCCGGTTTGGAGTCCTCCTTCGGGCTTCTTTAGACAGAGGCATGGGCCGGAAAGAGATGGTGGCGTGAAGCATGGGTTTGTAAACATTCATGTACAGCAAGCACACACAAAAGTGGGTGCCTTGAGGGACTAGAAGCTTCAGAGTTCCCCCCCCCCTTCTCTGATGCTGCTTAGGACCTGGTCGATGTGTAGCTTGCTCGAGATACAGGGCACTGAACCCTTTAGCCTTACTTAGCCCTTTTGTACCCAATCTTGCCTTTAAAAACGGGGAGATGGAGCCCCCTTCGGCCATCAGATCATCCTTCTTTAAGACTCCCCTCCTAATTCCAGCTGCTCTCTCGCCCCTTTAGTTCCGAGCCTTTAAGAAACCAGGGTGTGCAGCCTGAGATCAAAATCGGGCCCTCCCTCGCTGATTGCTCTCAGGCAGGCCTCCTTCCTGGGACAAAGACAATGACTTCACTTTTTGGGAGTCGCTCCCCTTCCCTCCAGTTGCTTCCAGGCCCGTCTCTGGCCTGGAGGTGCTGGCTGCTTTGGGGGCACAAATTCAGATCTCTCTTCCCGGGGGGTGGGGAGAAGGGTAGGAATTTCTTGGCTCAAAAGACTGGCCAAGTGAGAGATCGCAGGCTTAGCCGGAAAATCTTTGGGCTGCCTGTGAGAGATCCTACTAGGGAATAGTTCCACTCACCAGTTTTACTTCTCAGCTAGGCACCAAAGGATAGCTGAACTGTTGCAGCCACTGGTTTTAACATTTTCCTTTTAAAGAACTGCTTTTGCCCAGCCTGTTTAGACCTGGTATCTCTTCTGGGTTAGATGGTGGTGTGTTAAACAGCATCCTTGTTCCCTCGGCTGTGCAGCGGGGAGCCTGTTCCCAGTTGTGACATATCCTTTTGGCCTGTTTTGACTGCTTGCTTGAGCCAGGCTCCTTTGCAAGGAGCAAATGCAGCTGGAGTTGTGTCGGTCTACCCTCTAGCAGGCTGGTTCGTAAACTTATGTGTGGTCTCTTCTAAACATTCCATGAAGTTCACTTGACAGCTTTTAATGGATGGTGGTCGCCTGTTTTCCCGGTCTGCCCATCTCCCAGTGTGTGTCTTGCTGTGTGGTGCTGTGTGCAGTGATCCTATTTTGTAAATAAACACTTCTTTTCTAACACACCGGTCTCCGTCCGATCCACTGGTATCTTGTCACAGCTGTGTTCCCGTGCTAGTTTAAGAAGAACTTAACAGATTGGACGCTCTGTCCCTGCTCCTGCCAGCCTAGCAGTTCGAAAGCATGTCAAACTGCAAGTAGATAAATAGGTACTGCTCTGGCAGGAAGGGTAAACGGTGTTTCCGTGCACTCCTCTGGTTCGCCAGAAGCGGCTTAGTCATGCTGGCCACATGACCCGGAAGCTGTACGCCGGCTCCCTTGGCCAGTAAAGCGAGATGAGCGCCGCAACCCCAGAGTCGGTCACGACTGGACCTAATGGCCAGGAGTCCCTTTACCTTTAACAGATGGGACAAAACGTCTACCCAGCCCAGCCAGATCACTCTAGGAAATCCAAATCCAAACTCTCCAGTCGCAGGCATGTTTGGGAAGCACAGCTCACATCTCCCAGGCATGGGAGAGCAAGCTGGTGGAGGGTGAAAAGCACTTTGCACATGTTCAGAGGGAAACGCTCTGAAACTGCTTCCCCCAGGATCAAGCCCCAGCCTTCAAAGTAGGTTTGTCCTCTTTCTGTTGCTGCATCAGCTGGCAAAGCGAGGGTTACAGAGCATCCGTTGTTCAAAAGAGGAGGGGGGAGTTGACAGAAAAGGACAGTCTCCTGAAATTCAGGCTGCGTGTATATCTGAGGGCTGGAAGGAAGTGAAGTGCAACACGGGAGCAACTTCAAGTGGAAAGTGCTAGACTATTATAATAATAATAGTAATATTTTTTTATTTATACCCCGCCCTCTCCAGCCAAGGCCGGGCTCAGGACAGCTAACAAGCAATAATAAGAACAAGTTGAATAAATACAACTTAAAAACAAGATTAAAATACAACATTAAAATATTGAAATATTAAAATGCAGCCTCATCACAGGAGGAAAGGAAAAAGAAAGAGGGGGAGGGGAGGGAATCAAATTGGCTCCAAGCCAAAGGCCAGGCGGAACAACACTGTCTTACAGGCCCTGCAGAAAGAAATCAGATCCTGCAGGGCCCTGGTCTCATGAGGCAGAGCGTTCCACCAGGCCGAGGCCAGTGTTGAAAAGGCCCTGGCTCTGGTTGAAGCTAATCTAACTTCCTTAGGGCCCGGGACCACTAGGGTGTTGCTATTTATGGACCTTGAGGCTCTCCGTGGGGCATACCGGGAGAGGCGGTCCCGTAGGTACATGGGTCCTAGGCCATGAAGGGCTTTAAAGGTCAAAAGCAGCACCTTAAATCTGACCCTGTACTCCACCGGGAGCCAGTGCAGCTGGAAAAGACTAGGATATCTTCAGTTAGAATCTGGCACCCCTGGTGCCTGCAGAAGTTCTCCTAGCTCAGGTAAGCTATATAATGATGACTGGATCCATTATTTAAAAACTTTCTGCCGAGCGACTAAATCTGCACATCAATTCTTCGGCGCTGCTGATGTACCGATCCACCATCGCATTGTGTCACTGTGTGATGCCTGCCATTCCAGCACGTTTTCTCTTGTGTTTCTGTGATGGTGAGAACACTAAATGTCCTTTTCAAGCTCACAGACCTTGTTGTTTTCCTTCTTATTTTTAACGATAGCTCTACAGGGTCGGACCAGGGTGGGTCTGCCTCTAGTCTAGCACGTCTGCAGGGCTTCTCAAGGCGGTCAGCTCAGATGCTTCCAGGAAGTCCTTTCCCAGCTGGCACCCCACCATCTGACCGGGTTGCCCCAGCCACTCTGGGCAGCTTTCAACATACATAATAATATAACAATACATTTTAAAACTTCCCTATACAGGGCTGCCTTCAGATGTCTTCTAAAGGTTGTAGTGTTACTTATTGTGGGAATGTTCAGGGATGCAGGAGAGGATATATTGTCTGATAATAGCCTTTCCAACTTGTGTAACAAGTTCACAATTTTAGCAGAGTAACATCCCCCTTTTTAAACTTGCAGCGGATGCATTTGCTCAGGCTCGCTAAAGCCTCTATAATAACTGTTCTGCTGTTTTCCCCTTATTCCCTCATCAAAGATAAGACACGACACAGTCTTCTATAAAAGTATAAAAAGGTTTACTCACACATCATTCTGTTCACAGTAGGATCCCAGAAGGCAGACTTAGCTTAGAAAAGTAACATATACCTGGAAACTATCTCATAAGAAGACAGTCCCTTTGTCCTCTTGGCTGGAAACCAAGAGAGCATCTTTGAGTAAGATGTTGCTTCTTCAATGCATGCAGTCAAAAGGAGAGAGATGTCTACCCTGCCCTGTGCTTTTGTCGTTACCTGCACAGGTGAGGCCACGCCCACCTCTAGTCACATGCAGAGGAAGTCTGTCCCAGCCCAGAAGGAAACAGGAAGTTGACCTGCTGGCTGGACAAACATTCCTCCCCATGTGTAAACATGTTCACTCTAGGAATGTTGTACTTGACTGCTCTTGTGTTTCACATCCCACACTTATCTCCTTGACATCTGATGGGAGGACGTTCCACAGGGAGCACACTACTGCAGAGAAGGAAGATGCTCTCTTACTGAACCACAGCTCTTGATCCTCTGGCTGCTTTTTCGCATCCTTGCCAACATTAAGGGTCTCTCATTGCTCTGCCCTCTTTGGCCTCCTGCCTCCACCTATAGGCGGCCCCGGAAGGGTTCTCCGAGAGGCAATGTGGCCCTCGTCTGCTACCCAGACTCAGCCAGCAATCCTCTCCCGTTTTTACAGCCGCCTCAATTCCCCGTGACAAACAGCCATGGATTTCCTCCCTGCTGCTTCAAGGAGATAAACGGCACTGGCAATTGAGGGCCCTGCTTCTTGCCTGATGTGAGGAAGGCAATTTCTGGCTTGGCTGACATTGATTGTTGTCTTCCGCGGACCTCCTGAGGGCTGGCTCGAAAGAGGCCTGGCTGAGGAGTCCGGGGAGAAAAGAGTGATGCTGTGTGTGAGAGAAAAATACCAAAATGCCACAATTAAGCTTATTTGCAGAACTGCCGTTGATATGGCAACGGACGTGACAATCAATGGTGCCTATGGTGCGATTTATCCACCACCACCACCAAGGGACACAGCGCTGTGGTCTAAACCACTGAGCCTCTTGGGTTTGCTGATCAGAAGGTCGACGGTTCGAATCCCCGCAATGGGGTGAGCTCCCATTGCTCTGTCCCAGCTCCTGCCAAACTCACAGTTCGAAAACATGCCAGTGCAAGTAGATAAATAGGTACCACTGCAGCGGGAAGGTAAACAGCATTACTGTGGGCTCTGGTTTCCGTCACGGTATTCTGTTGTGCCAGAAGCGGTTTAGTCAGGACTAGCCGTCTGAGAAACAGTTTCTACGCTAATGCAATTCTGGTTCTAAACGCAGCATAGTGTATTTTAAAATGGAGTTTTAGAGTTTTTAGGGGTTTTTGAATGTTTGGTGTAGTTTTTTATGTAGTTTTATGTAGTTTTTCAATTTCATTGTTCCGCAAGGGACAATGACAATAAAGATATCATTATCGTTATCATTATTAGTCATGCTGGCCATATGACTCGGAAAGCTGACTTGGCCTGAAAGCGAGATGATGATGATGATGATGATGATGATGATGATGATGATGATTTATTAATACCCCGCCCATCTGGCTGGGTTTCCCCAGCCACTCTGGGCGGCTTCCAACCAAATATTAACATACAGTAATCCATCAAACATTAAAAGCTTCCCTGAGCAGGGCCGCCTTCAGATGTCGTCTAAAAGTCTGGTAGTTGTTTTTCTCTTTGACATCTGGTGGGAGGGCGTTCCACAGGGCGGGTGCCACCACCGAGAAGGCCCTCTGCCTGGTTCCCTGTAACTTGGCTTCTTGCAGGGAGGGAACTGCAACCCCATAGTCGCCTTTGACTGGACTTAACCAGCCAGGGGTCCTTTCCCTTTCCCTTACCTTTTATCCTCCACCCTACCACCCCTCACCCTTACTTGCTGTCCTTTTTTGGTTGGCGATGGGCAACGTCAAATCTGCCACATGCCCCCCAACTAGCAAGGGCAGCTCAAAGGCACCAAACTGGTGAAGGCTGCATTAAGGAATGTGACAGGCGAATCAGCTTCTGCTGCAACCACAATGAATCCCTGAGAAGAGCTCTAGCTAGATCCGGACAGTGGCCCTTCCAGTCCAGCATCCTGTCCTCACAAGGGCCGATCAGGTGCCTGTGGCAAGCAGGATTCGAATACAAGAGCAACTCTCCCCTCCTGAGGTTTCCAGAAACTGGGATTCAGAAGCATTGATGTATCTAGCTGTGGGGGCGAAGCGTAGCCATCATGGCCCCAACCGTCGATAATCCAGCAATTACTGTGCTGTGGTTTGTGGCTGGGACATTGTCATTATCATTTTATTCAGTTTGTTTCTATACCGCTTTGAAATGTCAAAGCAGTTACCGTATTTTTCGCTCTATCAGACGCACCAGATCACAAGATGCACCTAGTTTTTGGAGGAGGAAAACAAGAAAAAAAATATTCTGAATCTCAGAAGCCAGAACAGCAAGAAGGATCGCTGCGCAGTGAAAGCAGCAACCCCTCTTGCTGTTCTGGCTTCTGGGATAGCTGCTCAGCCTGCATTCGCTCCATAAGACGCACACACATTTCCCCTTACTTTTTAGGAGGGGAAAAGTGAGTCTTATAGAGCAAAAAATGCGGTATTTAAAAAATAAGTGCTGGGAAAGCAAGGTGGGAAGAGCTGTCCGAGGTGCTGAAAATGAGGGTTGCAACCCCATTGCCCATCCAAGGGGCCACTTGCAACCCTGAATCTCACCCTGCTCTCAGCAGAGGAGAGTCTGCCTTCACATTTCGACCTTCTGTTCCTTCACCCCGTCCCCACCAACAGAGGCGTACGGGGCATTCAGACACAGAGGACATTGGATTGGCTTCCCCGATTATAATGCTGGCGGTTCTATCACATTTTCTAATGTTCCTTTCTAATATGAGAGCAGCTTTTGCATCTCATTTGGAAACCAAGGACCCAGAATGGGAAGGCACACAATGCCAGATGCTTG